TGGTTGCTGTTTTTGTTGTTCTTGTAGAATCATTGCAAGTAAAGCAGGATCGATAGATTCATCATTATTCATCGTTAAATTTTCAGAATCTGGTGCAAATTCCAAATCAGTTAATTGCGATGATAAAATTTCTTGTAAAAGTTCTTCATCCATTGTTATTCTTTTTGTTTTATCTATAAAATCTAAATACAATCCATTAAATAAATTATTCTAATTGTTTTTGTAAAATAATATCAAAACATATTCATAAAACAACTGATGATCTAGATGAAATTGAACAATTATCAATAAACCTATATTTTCTTGACTGTAATTATCAATGTAATGGTAATAAACAAACACAAATAAAGTTTAGTAAACTCTGATCCAAGACACTAAGTTGCATTCAACAGGATGACACATAACGAAGTTGTGAGTCAAGTCTTACTTTAACTTTAGAACACCTTGACTGCCATTGAGATATCAGTGCCTATAGATAAATTGGCTAGAGCTCAGACAAATTTCAAGTGTTTTTTTTAAAAAGATCTTCAATAGTCGAGTAAGTTTTCCTACATATGAGAGATAGATAGTTATTACTAAACAAAAGTTATTGCAAAAACTTGATGTCAATATTGCAAAGCTTATCGCACATGGAAATCTTAATCCGAAACAAATATTTAGGTCAAAAAAAAAATAAACGAAAATGATGTTGAGAATAGTTTTAGCTGTTTCACTGTTATTGTATCAAGTTTTTTTTTCAATAACTTTTGTTCAGCAATAACTTTATTTATCTATAGACACTGATATATCTGTAGCAAACAATTTTCAAATATAAACTCAAAATTCAACCAGATAAAGATGTTTAGAATTCACTAAACTCTTTTATTATAAAATATATAGTTTCAACGCTCGAGTTTCTGGTTAGTACTGTATATCAGATAGAAAAATTCTTTTCTCATTAAAAAAAATAATTATTAAACTACAATATATATTCGATTGCACACGTCAATACGGATTGAATGAAAAATAAATAATTAAATATTCTAAAGATACTGGCTATTTAAACGCATTAATAAGTTCAAAAGACAACATATTGAAAAAAAAAAATCAATGAATGCCTAAAGTAATTTTGAAACTTGTTCATCAATTTGTACGATTTGTTTATCAATATAATCGATACTATTTCGATCAATTTTATCGAAAGTATAATAACGATAATTAACCATCATTGATAATGATTGTTTCCAACCACGTTCACTACGATCCGCTAACCAATTAAGACGCCAAACAACAGCACCATTACGTAAATGAAAATTTGCAACAGGATCTCGCGCATAGCCAGTACTTGAATGTTTTACTTGAGTTAAATAATATGCACAAAGATGCATTAATATTGGACGAATATCATTCAGAACTTTTTCATCTAAATGCCATGTTGATGTTGAAAATAATGAACGAAACCATGAACGTGTTTCAGATGAAATTATCGATGTTGATGAAGAATTTAATTCTTCCATTAGCCATTTACGAAAATCTAAATGAAAAAATAACGAATAACTCATAAAAAATGAAAGTCTCTGTATTTTTCAAATGTCTCCCTTAATTTTCGTTCTGTCGTTTTTTTTTAAATGCCCCGTTTGATTCTCTACAATGCTGACGAGAAATGTTCGTCATAGAGGGAGTTTATAACTCTTAAAATGGCTGATGAATCACACAATAGTTGTATTAAATGAAAAAGTAAATTTCCGTCAAAAGATTACTGTCTAGCTCGGAGTACATTCTAAAGGATTATTACCTTCAGTTATCTTCCATAACGGTACAGTCGATAACGATCGTTTACATCAACGAATTACTACGAATGCCTCTCAAGTATGGTAACAAGATGTTCGGAAATGATTGAATCACTGATCTTCAAACAGTCCTGATTTGAGTGTATTGAACTATTACATTTGAAAGATCCTCATTCTTTATCGGCTATCTGTTGTGTATGAAAATCATAAATTTTCTTTTATATCTTACCAGGTATTGGGGAAAGTGAAGAGAACTTTTCTAATTCTGGATGTTCAGCTTGTAATTGTAGAACACAACGTTTAATTAATGCATTACCTAATTCAATACCTCGAAGACCTAAATAAAAACAATATATATATATATATTTGATCAAATATTTTCATTTTTTAACTCACCTGGTTGAGTAGAAGAAATTGAATAAAATATTGCTGAATTAATTAATGATGGGTCTTCATGAAGAACTTCTGAAGATGTATTTGATACAGGTGAAACTCGATTTAAAACTATACGTCAATTAATTTAAAAATATTTATTTATATAAAATAAAATTAATTCTACTAACGCGTTTGAATTGAATCTGATATATCATCCGTTAATGCGACATGTAAAATAACCAATGGATCATTTGGCATCATATGATGAGTATAAGCAAAACATCGACTAAAAAAAGCAAAATAAAAAAAAAGCAAAATGATAAAGAAAATCTCACCGATAATGTCCTAAACGTCGTTTTAAATCAGTCCAATTTCGAATAGGATGTACCGCTTCATATTCAGAGATACGTTGAACTAATATGAAAATAATTTTATAGAAAAAAAAAAATTATTAGCACAGCCTCTTGCGAAACTAAAATGTGAAACTCACATGTATTCCTTTAGCTTCATTATACTTATACAAAATATCTTAATTGAAAAATCTTTGGCAAACTATGATTGTTTTCTAAGGGTAATCGATCGTTAGGGAAACGATCTATTTTATTTATTTCTATATTTTGACTCGAAATTTTTGTGTTTTTGTCCTTCTTGCTATGTCCTCGTTACTTTTTCATTTTCGTATTCTGTTCTTCTTAATTTAACTAGAAAACAGATCTGTCGTACACATCAATCATATTTAAACCAATGAGTCACTACTTGTTATGCTTAATGTCTATCCACTAAACTTTTATTTGTGCAAAAATCAGAACTTCTGCTATTTAGAACGTTCAAAAAACAAGTGTTTCAGCCATTCACATTTCGAAGAAGACTTTAAAATATTCTAGAACAAACAATATCAGTTAATGTCACTCAGCACCTTTTTTTCGTTGCTACAAAAATGTACACAATCACTATTGACCTCCTCTATTTTGCAAGAAAAAAAGGATACCTACAAACACACATGATTATTTTAGTTTTTAATCGAACACTGATATTATATTTTCTCTGGAAAAGTCTAATGTGAGTTACACAAAATAAATAGTTAAATCTTACCAATTTCACAAGGACTTTGCCATGTAATACGTTCAACTTGAAGTAAACCTGTTGTAAACCATGTAGCTAATAAATCACGAAGATTATCACTCATTCGTTTAACATAATCAGGTGAATCTAAAATTTTTTTTTCAATGACAAAAAAAAAATCCTAATGTTGAAATAAATGATTTTTATTAAAACCTATTTCAGGAAGAAATTTAAGTATATCAGCACGCATATGAACAAGTGAACGTACACCCTCAGGTTGTCGTCCAATAAGATGAAATAATTCAGCATATTTTGGTTCTGTATATGAATGAATTTGTTCACAACTTTTAATAAAATTTGAAGATGTCATTTTTTGAATCTATGATGATGAAATAAATAATTTTTTTACTTCAAATAAAATAACAAACCTGTGATGCAAAATTTTCTTCAGGTGGATGATATGTTTTTGCTATATATTTAAGAATATCTATTTTATTATTTTTATCACTTATTTCATATTGATCAAGAAGTGTTTCAACTTTTTTAAAAGCTAATATTGGACTACGTGCACCCAAATAGAAAATTTCATTTAATAATGGTCGAACTATATTCATTATTATTTCTAAAAAAAAGAAAACAAAAAAAAAATGATTATTTATTGACAGAGAAAAATAATATAAATACAATTTTGTTTTATTAATTTTTATCATTTTTTGAATTAACAAATAAATTTACAAAACTAGAAACTATCACACAATAAAATTACATCATTTACAATGAAATTTTTGTCGAAAATAATATTAACTTACGATCATTGAGGTTTTTCATATCTATTAATCAATTTTTTCATCAAGTTAATTATTATTCTGTAGTTTTGTTTTTATTTGTTGTTTTTCCTATGATTATCACCACTTAAGATTTTCATCATTCTTAAAGTTTCTTCGAACAAAATAAGAGGAAAAAATAATAAATATCATAAATAATAAAAGAAAAAAAAAAGAATACTTTTTTAATCTATGAAAACTTGTGGTCAAAGACATATAGATTAATTTGATCATCCAATGCAAAACAAACAATTCGATGAATAGTTTATTAAACATCAGCATGAGATACTTTGTTTACTTGAAAATTGAATATCTCAATAAAGAATCATTCTTTTCACTTGAAATTTTCATGATATACGACTAATCATTCGACCACTTAATGGATGGAATTTTTGATGATATGAATGTGAACATTAACCTTTCTGACAGCAACATTCATATCCATACTTTCAATACTTCTTGTTTCTAAGATAATTCTTACATTAAAATAAGTCTGTTCTTTTGCTATATCGTATGTCCATGGTGGTTACATTGAGAAGTCAGGTTTTACGTAATCGATATATGTGTTCAGCAGGAATTTCTATTAATTTTGATATCTATTTGCATTATATATTGTAGTATTTTGTTCATTTATCCGACGATGAACTTATCGCGAATTAGTTGTTAATTCAAAATCAGAACATGTCCATTTATTTCCTTGTGTTCAAACTTTTCCTCGTCTTATTTTCACTTATTCTTTTTTTTGGTACGTTTTGTCAAATGTATCTTAAAAAAAAAAACATGAATTTATTGTTTGAAATAATGGAAATGATTTCTTATTATATAAATAAAACAAAGCAATAAAATGTTATTAATAAAATTGAGATAAAAAACATATACTAGTATCACACAAAGTTCATTTATCGTTGATAAAAAGAAAAAAAAATGCATAACAGAATAATGTGTATACGTGGAATGTTCTCATCGTAGTTTAAAGAGGACTTTGATTAGAAAATGGATTTTTCGATGGTTTCTTTCCAATACAAAATACATTAAAACCAATACTCATTAAATAATCATGATCAAGCATAAGTCTTCCATCAAATATATAAGATGGTTTTTGCATAGTACTATAGATTAATTGATAATCTAATTTCTAAAAATAATTAAAATGAATAAAAAGAAAAATATTATTAAATAGAACTTACTGCAAATTCATCCCATTCAGTACAAACAACAATAGCATGAGAATTTTTTGCTGCTTTATATGGTTCGTTAGCTATTTGAACATGATGAGATACTAAAATTAAATTATTATATCGATTATATTTATAGAATTTTATGAATGTTAATCAATTAAAATAACAAAAATTTTAAAATTTAAACAATTTTTTCCAAAATATAATCTCTATATTAAACTTCAACAAATATAAATATTCGTTATAAACAACTCATCATGAATCTATACATGTTTATCGTTTAGATCATAATTATCTTCAAATACCATAGGCTTATAAATATTTCGAAAATGAAAGCTTTCAGAAATACTTTTTTCTTTCTAAGTCAGCATAAATTAAATTGATTCTAATTTAGAAAGTGTATATCTTTTTCTTTGCTAAGAAATTATTTTTTTCGGAATTCTTGGCCACATAGTTGGAACTCTGTCCGTAATTCTCAAATTTCCCCATAAAAACTAGAGTTTTTTTAATATAATATTCATATTACAGAAAACATTAGTTCTGATGAGATCAATTGAGAATTACAGACAGAATTTCAACTATTTGATTTAGAATTAAAAAAAGACAAAAGATTATTCTCGACAAACAAAAAGCGAACGTGTACTTTTGTGACTGATAGTATATTGAATCGAATGAGATAAAATAGTTTTCATAAACGTTAAAAATTACTTTTCCATAGACAGCATCCCATACGCTATCAAATCATATATAAAAAGAGGTGGAATAAAAAATTCAATTTGAAGTTCGAGTTTCTGCCGACTTATATTAACTATTCTAAGAGAGTTTATTCTTTTATTTAAAAAACTTCTCTTACATTCTTGTTCACTTGTACCAATTTGTTCAGATAAATCAAGAAAAATTTGATTAGATGATACTTTTGGATCATAAATATGTAATGATGCACCTTCAGCAATTAAATATCGACATACATAAATACTTGATGATTCTCTAAATTAACGAAAAAATCTATTCAAAATTATTCTTTATTTTCATTTCAACCTTGTATCAGCAGTATCTTTTTTAAAAGCAAAACCATAAATAGCAATTTTTTTTCCACTAACACTTCCAAACAAATTATGAACAATCATTTGAGCAAAACGTTCACGTTGCCAATCATTTACTTTAATAACTTGTAACCAATATTGTGCAACTGGTTCAAGTTTTAATGATTCAGCCAAATAAATTAAATTATATATATCTTTTTGAAAACAACTACCACCAAAACCTTTCGATAAAAAATATTTCCAATAAGCAAAATTAATTATCTTTAATCTATTAATTTACCAATACTAGCATTAAGAAATTTACTTCCAATACGTGAATCAAGTCCAACTGCTTTTGCAACTTCATTTACCGATGCACCTGTTGCTTCACAAACTGCTGAAATTGTATTAATACTTGATATACGTTGAGCTAAAAATGCATTAGCTGCCTAAATTATAAAATGTCTATTGTTCAAACAAACAAGAGAAAAGAAAAAAAATCAAGCATAACTAACTATTTTCGATAATTCTGATGACCATGTATTTGTTGTAAGAATTTTTTCTTTTGGTACCCAATGTTCATAAATCCATGAAAGTTTTTTAATTGCTAATGAACCCTCAATAGTTTCCTCACCACCAATTAAAACACGATCTGGTGCTAAAAGATCATGAATAGCTGAACCTTCAGCTAAAAATTCAGGATTGGAAAGAACTTGATAATTAACACCATATCGTTTATTTGTTTTTAATATTGTTTTTATTGATTCACATGCTTTTACTGGTACTGTTGATTTTTCAACAACTATTTTATCACTTGTTGCTGTATGAGCTATTTGTCTAGCAGCTTCTTCGACATAACGTAAATCAGGAGCTCGTCCCTTTTAAGTAAAAATGAAAATAAAAACTTTTATTTATACTTATTATATTAATTAACTTACTGTACCAAAACCATAAGATTTTGTTGGTGTATTAACACTAATAAAAATTAAATCAGCTTCTTGTATAGCTTTGTCTGTATCAGTTGAAAAGAATAAATTACGATTACGACTTTTTTGAACAATTTCATCTAATGCTGGCTAAAAATAACATTATTTATTATATGTAGATATTTATAAAATATCAAAACTAAAAAAGAAATATCAAATAAAATCTACCTCAAATATTGGTAATGAATCAGAATTCCATGCTGCAATACGTTCAGCACTTACATCAACAACCGTTATATGAATATTTGGACATTTACTAGCAATAACTGCACATGTTGGACCTCCGACATATCCGGCACCTAAAATAATTTTTTTTTTGAAAAATTGCTTTTCTGATTTTAAATAAGAAAAATTTTTATATACCAATACAACAAATGTGGAATATTGAATTATCTGATTGAGAAGAAGAATCAGTGATATTATTTATACTATTATCTAAACAAAATTTTACTTAGTAAACTTAGATCGAAGACAAAAGAATCTACCTGTATTATTCGATTGAGATTCTAACTCCATAGTCATATTGATTTCAAAAGAAGATCTAAAAAAAGAAATATAATACTTTGAAATATGTGGGACATATCATAATCAATGTAAGAGTAGTCTACAAGCATCATACGTGTCTAGTCACGAGGATAGAAAATGTAAACCAACTACGACATGCAACTAAGTAAACGGATCATTTACCTTTTTTTTATTCGTTCTTAGTATAAACAGCAATTATAGTGATTAATTGAGTACCCCGAACCCAATGATTAGAATAAATTATTACAGAATTCAAACAAGCAGTATTAGCAACCGTACAATAGAATACAAGACGATATGCATCTCAGCGATTAGAAACATTCTCAAACCAACGAATTGTAGACTCTGAAGATGTCGCCTAAAAACTTGTAATCATGTTATACCCATACAGTAAGATGAAGTCTTTGCCTTTATTATTTCTAAGTATTTCTCCGAATAAATATGATAAAAATGGATACAAAAAAATACGCATACAGTTAAGACATTATACAAGATATAAAGTATCAAATTTAATAGCTGGTCGTCTTTCTCTCTTGCAGTTAGTCAATGCTAAACACTGGACTTTCCTCGTTTAAACCAAATGATTTAGAGTGACCAAGTCGTTTTTATCACATTCTTCGTGCAGAAATTTGTCGAATGGATTTAAATTTCATGTTTTTCGCTTTTCGACACGATGTTTGATGATCAATCAGAGGTTTTCTACTAGACTAGTATCGAAATTGTTCGACGACCAGTCGACTTCTATGTTTGGGATCATTGTCTTGCTGCTTCTGTATCATCATTTGTGCTGCATAAGGTAAAGTATCCTTGTAACTTATCCGTTTGAGCTATGGGTGAACCGTCCATCGGGCCACGTGCCGATTTCAGTCCTGAAACATTTTTTATGTCGGTTCTCTCGGCATTGTTCCGTCGAATCGACTAGCCGAGTGCCTTATTGCCGTCGGTAGTAATCCTGCGATGGCGACTACTACGCTGTCTGTTTATTATTGCCGAGTAATCGATAAATGTTGTTTCAGTGGTATAAAATAGTCGATATGGTACGTTTTCAGTGAAGTAGAATTTAGTTGTCAAGATATTTCTTCGCAACAGAAGAATATTCACAACAATTAGTAGTTTACATAGCTATATATAGATTTTTCATCACCTCTTGGAAAGTTGAAGTATGCGAAGGGCAAAAATTTGTGCGCCTCATTATGTATATGACTTCATGGCCATTCAATCATGAAACAGTTTAATTCATCAATAGTATATGCTACACGATCAGTATCGATATGACGTATGTAACAAACCTGTCGGTGTGGTAAGCACCTGCCAGGTCTGGCTAAAGTTATTGACTTAGCTCTTACATTTTTGGACAGCAAATGTTAATACCTTGCCTTGCTATTCGATCGTTCTTTCACAAAGTCATTCGATTCTAGTAAAAAATGATTGAATTGAACGTTAATTTAGTATTGTAGGAATGATAGAAGATCTTGTTTCGATCCCAAAAAATTGAAAAGAAAGCTTTATGTTTGTATCGATTGTCAAATGTTAATGTCCTTACCAGTTATTATGAGTATTATTTATTCATTAAATTCTCTTATATCTCTTCGTTGAATATCCAATAAGATATTGTTTTTGCTAATATGAATAATTTTTTTTCGATTATATGAAACAGAACTAATATGACCAAAAATATTGTGTTCCTTTCGGAAAACACAAAACAAACCTCGTCAAAAAACGATACTAGTATGGATTAGAATCATTTCAAAACAAGCATCCATTGTCAGTGTCGCGTGGTTTTAAAGAAACATGTGTTCAATATAATGAGCTAGGGTAATATTTTACAAAAACCAAATTGAACGAAATTTTCACAAAATGCTGCTCCGCTCATAATACCGAAATAGCGTTAGTGCGAATCAAGACAAGAGTTACACAAAATCTCTAACTGTGATTTTTCAGATGATAAACCGATATTGAGCAAAAAATAGGTCCTTCTAATCCATGAAAATAGAAGTTTGCCTAGTCTATGGAAGAATGTCAACTGTACAAGGTAGCTATAGGTAAAAAGAAGATTCATATTCGCATTCTACCGTAAAATGCTTTTAATGTTGTTGGCGCAAACATCAATGTCAAGAGAAGAAAAATGCTTTACACGGGTCAGAATTATAGTCAAAATTTTATTCTAGCAGCTAAAATACAGATATTCATTGAACACCTATGGTGATATTGATGATTTTTTGCTGTTGATAATTTAATCTATGATACAAAAGCGACACATGGGCTCTGAATATTAGAAACCTTGGTGTTATTGGAGAACATTAGATTGATGATTATAGCAGAGCTTATAAATTACGAAAGAGTAAGGCGCTATCGAAGGAGAATACGAAGTAGCTATATATATATTCACTGATTGCTATAAGAACAAAAACCTGGTATTGATATATCTGGTATTGGTTTCTAGGAATTTCATCATAGAATATAATCATCGCATGAAAACTGAGTTGATTCAATTTTAACTACATGAATTTTTAAAGCGTTCCATGAATTTTTGGAAGGTATTCAACTTATCGTTAGTGTTAATCGAGCTAATCCATTACAGTTTCCTTGAAGTTTAGAGGCTAAAATGTGTAGTTGGACTACATTAGAAACATAGTCATAGTAATTTTAATTTAAGTATCCCAAAGGTGTAGCTTGAGATTCAGTCTATCTACAATGACTGTTTGGTGACCAAGGAAAACCAGATATATATTTCATAATTTTGTTAATATTTAGTTATTTTGGCTAATAGAAAACTTATTAGAAACAACTGTAAATCGTTGAAAATAAAAAAGAATCGCATGAAATCAATGAATACCAATTGATTTGTGATAATTTTCATCTAATTTCAGACTGACATTAATTATTATTCGGGTTTGAACCTTGCTCTACTCTCTTTGATGCTATGGGGGTATGACTAAGAATCCATTTTAACAGAATTAATGAAAATTAACTCGAATATGATTGTTGTTATCTGTAACTATGGCTCATTTACGGTAAGTTGTTTCCATTCGTATCATACGATGGAGTGTATTATTTTGCTTTCTAAATCTCTTTCTACTATTATTATACATTTTCTAAACAATTTAATAAAACAATTCTTCACAGAACTGAATCAGTTTGTTACTGAGTAACTAACAAATTAGACATAAAATCGAAGAAAAACTAAAATTTTTGTTCGAAGATTTTTGTATGTGAATATGCTATAGTCTAATAAATATTGATAAATAAGTTCAACTAAAATAATTAAATAAGAATATTCAACATACTTCAAAATCGTTCACTTTTATTTGAATCTAGCTAACGTCTGTGAAAAGTATATTCCATTCTGTCATTCAACTTTTCTTTCGTATTTTAAAATATAAGCATAAATCACTTTTGGCTATTTTGAATTCTATTATATCCTCAATTAATTTTAGATGTTATTCGAACATTTCATCTAGTGAATTTGTTCTTATTAATGTCTTCCTTATTCTACAGAGTGTTTTAAAAGTCTGATTTAGAAAGAAAACATGAATAACCCATCAATAGTTCAAACGATTCACATCATTTTTTTTTGTAATAGCTTGGCCTTATATTCGTTAAAGTTTTATTTAAAACTAAATTCTAATTAGCCACACTTGTACCACACAAGCGTCGAGTCGAATATGGCAAAAACAAAACGACCAAATAAACATTGCATTAAAGCTATATTCTAACGATCGTTTGAAACTCGTACGGTTGAAGATCGATAAGAATCTGGAAGGATAACAATAAAGACTGAATAAAAAGTCAGGAAAGTTAATGACCCTTGTAATAATGAGCAAAGATCAAGTGTTCAGTCAATATAACTCTTCTTCGGCGACCTGTTGAACAAATTTTATCTTGTAGGCTTTAACAAGAGACATGTCGTCATAGTCCGGTTGATTTTTTTTGTGACATTGAACACGTGATCTTTACTCATTTTTACAAGAGTCATTAACTTTATTGATTTTTTTCTTCAATAACTACTGTTATTCTCCCAGATCGTGATCGGTCTTCAATAGTATGAGTTTCAAAAAAAAACCGTTATAACGTAGTTCTAATGCAATGTTTAGTTGGTTTAATGAATATAGGACCAAACTATAAAAGAAAAAATTATATAAATCGTTTGAACTGCTGATGAGTTATTCACATTTTTCTCTCGACTGAACCTTGGAGAAACACTGTTTTTTCATTTTCTATTTTGTATCTTCTTTTAATTATTTGATAAACATGATCAACTCTATTGAACGCTGGACAAGACATATATAGAATGAAAATTTAGCAGTAACTAATTGATAGAATTTTGACTTTTAGTATATAGTTCTGTTGAAATGTGACAATATCTATATTAAGTTATTGCGTTTGTGGATATTTTTTCTTTACAAATAATAATATTCATGAAGTAATTTAGAAAAAGCTATTTTTCATTTTCTTGCGAAGCTTTTAAAATATGTATCAATTAAATTGAATGAAACAAAATTCCAACAGAAGGAATAGTAGTGATAGAAAAAGAGAATTGCTGCCTTTTAACAATTAAATAAAACTGTTGAAATTAAATGGCCTTTCGGTCTGTATCACAATATAACAGTCGATTGTAGAAACAAATGAAACTTTAATTAGTATTTTTATAGCAAAATGTGACTAGTTCTCAAGATCATTCTACTATTCTGAGCAATCTTTTAAATTAAAAATTATGGAAACAAATGAGACACAATAGAAGAAATCATCCCTAGAAACTGTATGCTTGAACTTAATAAAAGATTCGAAATCTTCTATATCAATAGAAATGTTCATTATAAATCTGAGCCAATGTATATTCCGCTTATCATGAGAAGATGTTTTGATGAATGATTTGATGTTCAATGCTGTTCATGGATTATTACAGCCATATTCCTCTTACATTGATGAATATACAGTATGATTCATCAAAATGTGAATTTGTTGAAAAATCGAATAGTTCATTTGAATGTGTATTC